TAAGCAAATAATCCCTTTACAAGATGAAAATAACAATTAAATGGATTATATCCTAATCTAATCTTATTTACATCAAATTTAGATATAGATAACATAAATGGATATTCACAAAAATATTCATAACACTCCCCTTGAATATCCATTGTATTAAAAATATGCCTCATTAAAACCTTACAAGGAAAAAGCCTCATGAAAAAAAAAATTCAAGTGGAGGAAAAAGAGAATAATTCTTTTCAAGAATACGCTTATGAAATACTGCCTCATTAAAAATCTTACAAAAAAAAAATCCAGTGGGAAAAACCTTGATGAAGGAAAAAAGAGTATAGTGCGTATTTTACTCCCCCTGGTAACTGTATTGTAGATATCTTTTAAAATGATGCATTTCAACTTTCAAATGTTACAGTAAAAAAAACTTTAGTGAACAATCTGCTAGATTGTCACTTAGCTAAATTTGTTGAACACTTATTTCACTATTTTCCTTGGAGATCATAAATGAAGAAGGATTTTGACGAACTATATGTTTTGTTCAATCGCCTTTAATATATTGTTCCTTTAACTATGCTATGCAAACAGTATTATCCTCATATAACATTGTTATAATTTTCTTCTTAGTTGACAAGTCACACATTTCTCGAATATATCGAGTTAAAAATCTTAACTAAATACATTCATGATTTACTCACGAGTTGCTAAAATTTCTCCATATGTGAACAAGTAATTTGTCTAAGATCGAGCTTTGTGTGGATCAGATGAATATTCTGCATATGCATAACTAATTGAAATTTATTTTGATGCATTTGAATAATGTAATTCCATATCCATTGTTCTTCGGAGATATCGAAGTATATGTTTAATTCAATTTCAATGTTTTCGAGTTGGAGAAAACTATATCTTACTAATAAATTCATAGCAATTCATATATCAAGTCTTGCATTGCTAGCAAGATACATTAGTGCTCCCATTCTAATAAGATATGGTACTTCAAGGCCAAAAAGTTCTTCATTATCTTCACGAAGTCGAAAAAATTCTTTTTTCACATCTAATGACTTTACAATCATTGGTGAACTCAATGAATATGATTTCTTCATATAAAATCATTTTATCATTTGTGATATAACTTGATTGATGGACAAAAATTCTATTTTGTCAAATTGTTTTAATTCTTTAAAAAAAGGGCGGGGGACCCCCCAAAAAAAAAAAACTTTATTTTTTCAAGGTCTTTCATCTCAAATTCTCTCTTTAAGTAATCCACAGCTTTTGATAACTCTTCAGGAGTTTCAATAATGTTGAAGTCATCAACATAGACAGCAATTATAATAAATTCATATTTAAACCCTTTTATAATATATATGAGCATATAGGATTATTTCTATGGCCTTCTTTCAATAAATATGCACTAAGGTGATTATACCACATGTGTCTGGATTGCTTTAATCCATGTACATATTTATTTAATATGATCAAATAAATTTTTTGATAATTTAAATTTTGTGCTTCAGGCAATTTAAATCCTTCAAGAATTTTCATATAGATATCGATATCAAATGAGCTATATAAATAGGCTAGAGCTATATTCATTAGATGCATTTCAATCTTCTCATATATTACCAGACTAGTTAATATAGAATTGTAATTGCATCCACCACAGAGAATATCTCTTCATCTTCAATACTAAATCTTTAGAGAAAACCTTATGCGATAAATCGTGCTTTATATCTCATAATCTCATTTTTCTCATTTCATATTCGCACAAATATCCATTTATATCTTATTAGTTTTACATCATTTGATGTACGGACTACAGGTCTAAAAACTTCACGTTTTGCAATTAAATTTAATTCCACTTTAGTTGCGTCTTTCCACATTGGCCAATCATTTCTTTGTCTACATTCTTCAATAAAGAGAAGTTCAAGATCCTCGTTTTTCTTTCATAATATTAAGCTCTATATTATATAGAAAATATCGTCGATGTTTATTTACCGGTTTTATCTTTTCCCGTCATGACATAATTGATTGAGATCTTTTCACTTTCAATGATTTCAGGTACTTGAATTTCTTCTGAAATTTTTCTCAATTATGTCAAGGGTCTCTTTTGAAATTTTTGTTTGCTCTTCTTAACCATCTTAAATATTTGCTCTTTTTTTTTCGAAGATTTTATCTTTAGAACCGATTGGTCTCCACGCTTCTGGCGTGCCTTGTCCTATAGAGACATCAATGCTAATAAGAGCATTTGCAACTGGTACTTAAGATTTAGTTATTCTTTTAAGTCAGTAAATACGTTTGGCAACTGATTTACTATATTTTGTAAAATAATAATCTTTCAAACTTCAAGTTCATATTGATTTTTGAGAAGATCAAAACTAGATAATGATATTTATTCTAAGAAATTTTCTTTTCTAGCTGCTTATTTTTTTCTCCCTCTAATGTTGAAAAAATTGTTTCATCAATATGACAATTGATAAACTTTGTCATGAATAAATCTCCTATTAATAATTTTTAATATTTAATTACAAATGGAAATTCGTATCCAACATATATTCCTAACCTCCTTTGAGGATCCATCTTTGTGCGTTGTGGTAGAGCAATTGAAACATATACCGCACATTCAAAAATTCTTAGATGAGAAATATTTGGTTCTTGACCATAAACCAATTGTTTAGGGAGAATTTATAATAACTCGTTTGGCTTAATGCATACAAATGCTATTACATCTAAAATTGTATACCCCCAAGTAAACATTAGGAGTTTAAATTTCATAAGTAATGACCTTTTAATTAGTTGGAAGTGTTTAATAAATAATTCTGCTAGATCCTTTTGTGTATAAACATAAGCAGTAGGTTGTTCAATAGTTATACCAACTAATATACTATATTAAAGGCTTAAGATGTAAATCCACTAGCACTGTCAAGACAAATAATCTTGCTTATATAACTAAGAATATGTGCTTGCAAACGAATTATTGTAAATGTAAAATTGCAAGTTGATAATAAGCACACATGTGACCATTTAGTCGATGTACCGATTAAAACTGTAAAATATCTAAATGGTTCACATGGTAGATGTATGAATCCACATATAATATTGAATATTATTCAAATACGTAGAGAATTTAGTTCCTACTTTAGCTGGTGAGAGCTTTATAATTTATTTACCTTCAGAGCAAGCAACACATAAAATTCATTAGGTTGAAAAATTTTCTGGTTTTTCAATGAATGATCAATTTTCAATCATTTTTTTTACATCATT